AATGTTGAAAGCTGCTACCTTATAGCAATGTGCCACTGGCAGCCCTTTCTTATTGGTGCGATTGTAAGGAAATGCTCCTATAGGAAACTGCTGCCAGAAGTAGCCCAATCCGACAGGGAGCATTTCCATACAGACCAGGTTCACCGCTCGTGCAACGCATGGGGCTGTGTGCTCTGCTCGCACCCCCGCCCAGCACCCCCCTAGCACGGCACCTGCGGGCAACTGCCCCCATCTGCCCCCTCACTGCGCCTCTGGTCCCTCTGTTGCAGTCCATCCCTAGACTCGTGGAAATCTGTTCCTCCGAGTAGATTTTCCAGCATTTGTCTAGTAGCGTTTAACCGTGTCCCAAGCTATGGCGCTTCCCGCATTTCTCTTGGGGAGACGGTTCCTCAGCCTTGCACATCCGGACTATTGCTTTTATATTCATCTTAAAGCAGACCTTGGTCAGCTCCACCGATTCATTTCACCCCAGTGGTGACGTCTGCTACCCAATTCAGAAAATCGTCCCTATTCAGGAAAAATGTAAACACAGGCTTAACTTTCAGGATGTGTGTGATTGCTCCCTGCACTGGCACAGGGTGCTCGGCTGACTTCTGCCCCGTTCAGCCGGGCTGCCACGCGGGAGCAAGCAGCCGTTTGGGGCCCCACGCTCCCGGTGCAGCACGAGGGTGCAGCCTGGGGCCCAAACGGCCACTTGCGCCGCTTTCTCTTGCACACTGGCTGAGCGACACAGAACTCAGCTGAGTGCCACGGCAGGAGGCGAAGGGTGTGACAAAGGCTCCAGGTCCCACCCCCTGGCCGTGTACGTCACTGCCCCACCCCCCTTCGCCTCCCGCCATGGCGCTCAACTGAGTTCTGCGCTGCTCAGCTGGGCCACCAGGCAGGAGCAAGCGGTGCAAACGGCTGTTTGGGCTCCGCGAGTGAGAGGCAGGAGGGGGAGGAGAGCTGAGAGAGAGTGGGGCGAGACAGTAGGAGGAGGAGAGAGAGAGAGAGACAGATGTGGGGGAGAGACCCAAAAATCCTGTTTTATGACGGGCTATTGGCTAGGTTTTTTAATAACGAACATTTAAAATCGATATGTGAAACATGTAATGAAGTAATGTGAATACGCAACGGGCGACGGATTGAAACTGATTTGCACACGCGCTGCTACCTGTCGGCTGTGGCCGTGGCACATGCGCCATTTCACTCACTCCGTTTTTTACAGATAACAATTTTATAAGTGTCAATTTGCCGACAACCCCAAATTATAAAATGACTAGCAGAGCGAGAGACTCAGGCAGAAAATATTTGTTAGGAAGCCAGAAATTAAAGAAAAAAAAAGAAAACGTGAAGACTGTAATCTCAGTCTAAACGGTACTATGGAAAAATTGAAACTAATAAAGAATTACTTAAGATCTACTATGAGCCCAGAGCGTTTTGTAGATCTTTCGATTATATCGGTTGAAAACGACCTGTGTAAAGAAATGGACTTTAATAACATAGATGAAGAATGTGCTGCCAAAAGAGCAAGACGGCAAAAACAGACTGAAATACAAATAAAAATTGTAATTATTAATGCAGAATTTTAAGAATGACTTACAATATCATTAAAATAAAAATTATCCAACTAAATTAAGTTTCTATCAAATTTACCCGATTCACATTTAACATGACAATAGCCTTCCATTTAAGCATTTGACACCTTTTTTCTATTTTTTTCTCCAAAGGGGGGGGCCCTGTGAAATTGTGCTGCCCTGGGCCCCACAAAACTCTCACCCGCCCCTGCGGGCATAGAAGTTTACAACCCTACTTCAAGGTAGTTTTTTGCATTGAGTGTTTTACTGGACTAAATGTAGAGAGTTGGCCTCTACTATTGCAGGGGTTAGCTTGTCTGCAAAGATTTCTTGCCATAGTTTTCTCCTACAGCAAGCACAGAGGTAAGGGGGGGGTGTCTAGCTGTTTATACTGTTTGACGTGGCTGCAGGTATTTGTGGACTTGAGATTGTTCCTTGAAAACTGGAGTCCAGGCTGAGAGAGAACTGAGAAACGGGTCCAACGTATCCCAGCTCGGGCTGTGAAAAGTCGATGAAGGGGTAATCGTGTAACCGCTGAAATTCTCGCGGTTAAACGGTGCCACACGCTGCAGGCTCTGCAGGATAAAGCTTAGATAAGCCCAGAGCTGAGCTGGAGCCACCAGCCCCTGCCAGCCCATCTCTTGCGGAGGAGCCTGCCCGGCCACAGCGAAGCTGCCCTCCTGGAAGAGGGGCCGTCGGGCTGCTGGCCCCGCTCCCAGAGGCCAGCATGTAAGACGGGCTGCTTCAGCCCCTGGGTTAACGGGAGTCGGTAAACCCCACTCGTTGGGGGGGCCGGCCGGTTCACTCCCTAATCCCAGCTACATGGAAAAGTCCACAGTGTCTCTAGTGCAGATCAGGAGTTTCAACAGGTTCTAGAACATTGAAAACCCCCCCCCCTTTGTCTGGACAGGGTCCCGCGGTGCAGACGCTCCTGCCCAGCTCCCTAGAGCAGGCTCCTGGGACACACGCCGAGCAGACTGTCAGCAGCAGCGGGAAAGTGCCCAGCGGGCAGGTCTGGGAAGCCACGACAGTGAGACGGGTCTCGAGAGCCTCCCTCATCCCACTGCTGCCCAGGGCTCTGGCCCCGCAGACCCTCCTCCCTCTGCCCCCCGCTGCATCCCCCAGCCCTGCCCACCCTGCCCTACTCGGAGCAACCCGTCAGCCGGGGAGAGAGGGGCCACCTCTGCCCAGGACTTACTGTACACGCGCAGGGCGAACCTCCGGAAGATGGGGTCGGGGGATCCCTGGGTGGCTATCTGTGCTGTGTACGTGCCCGTGTCCTCAGGGCGCAGGTCAGTGACTTGCAAGGAGTAGCTCCCATCAGGGACCCGCAGTCGGTCTCTGTAATGTGTGTGTATCACTCTGAGTGGAGCTGGTTCTCCTGGTGTCACAATTGCGATAATTGATTTTCCATTCCAGGCTACGCTGTCAACCCGGCTTCCCCTTGGAACCACAAGAGCGAAAGTGACCGACTCCCCCTGAGCCCCGTTCAGCCTCGTGGGCCCCGACTCCTCTCCGAAGGCTCCTGCAGCAGGAAAGACGGAAGAAAAGGAAAGTGTCAGACCCCTCCCCCGGCACAGACAGCCCAAGTTCTGACCCGGCACACGTCAAAACAGCTGCACCAAAAAGCTGCCGCAGAGGGCCAGAATCAGTGAGAGGGGACCTGGGGCACAGAGACCGTCACCCGCTGGTGCAGAGACTTTCCCAAGGTCACACAAGGCGCCTGCAATGCAGCAGGGACGTGACCCCGGCTCACGGCGCCTTCCTGGCTCTTTGCCTTGGTGTCTGTCCTCAGCAGACGTGGGGAGTGAAACGCTCCCTGAAGATTCTAAGCCAGCTGTGGCCCTCCCCGTGTGGCAGCACCTTACAGCTGTTGGGGGGGGTGTCTGCATGGCCGCAGGGAGGCTGCTGAGGCCAGCCCATCCCCCGGACAGCTGAACGATCTAGCCCCTTACACCCCGTCTCTTGCTCAGGGGCCTGGCGCCAGCGCAGGGGAATGCGGCTGCCCCGAATGCCCCTGCCACGCGGCCGCGTTGCCAATGACCTGCCAGGCGCTG